ACTGAGGGTTGCGATCCGTTGCCGGACACGAAAAAAGACAAAAAAAGGAAAAAAAAAAAAAAAAAAAAAAAAAGTAAATGCCTTCTGGCTCATGAGAACAAAGTATGCTAGTGAAACAGTTAAACATTCATAATCAGAAGTTATTCTTTGGCTTTGTTGGTTTCTGAAAAATGTTGTAGACATGTATTAAAGTTTAAGGCAGGTTCTCAGCACTACAAGAAATATAATTTGTTGTCTCTTTAAAGTAACTATCCTTCTAGCTCCTGATGAGAAAAGACCATTTATTTCTATAGCTACATAAAACTACAAGATTAACAAATTGCCTGACAAATTTCAACAGACATAAAATAACCAATTCAAATGTCAAACTTACTAGATGCATTCCGATTCATCTGGACCTAAAACAGAAATGCAAAAACTAAGTAACATTAAACAATTAATTTAATTTGGCAACGAAATATGTGGTAAAATGTTAATACTGGTAAATCTAATTTTAATTGTTTTCAGTATATTTACTCAGTTGTAAACTGTTTTTACATATAAGATATATAGAAAAAACTTTTAGTACTTTTTGTTTTACAGTAAAAACTAATAATACATGAACCTTTAACACCCGATAAAATGTTTTTAAAATATGAAAACATTAACATTTATAGCAAGATACCATAACTTGCTAATCTAAATAATTTAATACAAATATTTTGAAAATCAATTTTCAAACATTACAATAATTTTTGTAAAAGTCAACAGACAAAAATATAAAGTTTTGTACTTACTGGACTGTGTCTCTAGTAGTACATGGAAGGAAAAAGAAAGACATACTGTTCAGTTTAGAATTTAAAATATTGCATTTTCCTGCTCTAAAAATTTGTCTATTCCATTCTGAATGATACATAAAATACATACACCTTAAAATATATACATTGTTGGGGGGGAGGTCTGCTAGATAAGCAAACTGGGCAACAAAACATACTCAAAGATATCTTTTTTTCAAATCCAATATTAACTATTATTATTTTTCTGATTATTAATTTTCTGAGTATGAAATTAATACATGTTCATTCTTTTAAAAACAAATAGAAGAGAGAAAAGAGCAAAAAAGAGAAAATTTTAAACCATCCATGATCTCATTACCCTAAAGATATAGAGGATTAACATTTCGGTATATATTCCTCTAGGCTTTTATTTTACTTATTTACATATATATTTTAAATTAATTCTGCTCTTGCACAATAACGATTAATGGTTCACAACTTCCTACTTCATATATACAATATTTTAAGCAACTCTATAATTTAACATTAATCTTAACGTTAAATAGTAATGGTATAATAAAACATCACTTCAGAAATATTTTTGGTGGAAAAATACCATTCTAAAATTAAATTCTAAAGTGCATGACTAAGAGAAAAACACTTTTTTCCCAAGCAAATACTTACAGACTTCTGAAAATATTTAATTAGATAACAATATGAAATGTTGAGAACTTTCATTCTCCATTATCAAGAACATTTGATATCAATTATGATGATAATGTATAGATATATGAGTACTTGTCACTCTAAGACATGCTTTTTTCCCATAGTGTAACATTTCTAAATTTAGAATATGACATCAATGAAAAAGATTTATTATGGTAATGTTTTATTTCTCCCTCCAAAGCTATTAAGCATGGTATTTTAGAATTGAGGACTCATCACTAAGTAATCTTATCTTTGTTGGATCATTATACAATATATGCATACATTGAAACAACAAACTGTACTCCATAAATATGTACAATGAAAAAATTTTAAAAAGACATCTTATGTTTGCTTTACCTTGGATGAAAAATATAAGAAAACAAATATTACAGTAACAGACAAAAAAATGCAAGGACATAATTTAATCTTTAAATTCATTTTTTACATAATATTCACAAAACATGGAAGAAAAACTTTAAAATTAGATGAGGAAAAGATTAACACTGCTAATTTTAAAAAATTCTTCCTGAGAGAAACAGCACTGTTTATAAAATACAACAAATTACAAAAGCAGGTAAAACTAAGCCAAACACAAGTTTATTTGCCTGTATAAAAATTATAAACTAAATATTTCCTCATTCAATGTGCTTAACTATTGCTAAAGTGACTTATTATTCCTAAAATTAACCAGAAGCAGGTATGTGAGGTTAAAAAAAAAAAAAAAAGGCCTCCATATAAAGAATACAAACTTGTTTATATGCTTACTTACAGATATTGCTGGGGAGAGTGTTATATTCCCTATAGATACTTTTAATTCATCCAAAGAAGCCACTGTGTGATGTGAGTTATTTGGATGTATAGGTTTGATTTCTATCCGATACTTCTTTGGTTCTTCATCATCAGAGTCAGAATCACTAGAGGAGTAGAAATGGTTCTCTTTGGTATGTGAGTATCAGTTAAAGAATTTAGTTTTAAGTTATTTTAGTAAATAATCAGTTTTTCACATATTTACAAAAACAAAACCATTAAGAGCAAGATGAACTTTAACAAACATAAAACTAACTTAGATTAATAAAAATATCTCAAATGAAGAATAAGGAGTCATACTTTATTATAATTAATTAAAAATTTGAAAAGGTTTTAAGTAATACATTATTTTGTTACAACTGTCTACTTATATGCCAATACAATCTATGAGAATACCCAGATGATGAAAGGATATCATTCTGATTTGTTTCTGGTTTAATACTATAGCCTTCTTCATCTACATCAGGAATGTTCTATTGGAAAAAGAAAAAAAAGTACTATAATGACAACTCTAATGTACAAAAATATTAAAGATTAGCAAAACAGGTCTAACTATTATTGAGGAACTAAATAATTTATCAAATATTAACCTATCAATAAAATTATCAACACTGTGGGAAAAATACATATTTTTAGTTAATTAGCTTCAAATCATACTCATGCCTCAGATGTCTGAAAGAGGAAGACCTGCAAAATGAAACAGGAGAAATACAATTGATAATTTCAGGGCAAGAAATCACCAAGATGAAGAATTCAGATTGTTCAAAATCTGCAATTTCTGTTATGAATCAGGAAGAATAAGTTTTCTTTGGTGGCTGTCTGGAATGGGGACCCAAACCCTTGACCTTGTTTTTATAAAACCATGCTCTAACCAACTGAGCTGGCCAGCCAATCCTAGAATAAGTAATTTTTAAAAAAGAACTATCAAGGTAAATATTCTCAATGTTATAACTTTTTATATTCCACATATCCCTACAAAAATATAAGACCTAGGGCCTTTTTAAGCAGCTTTAAGTCTGGGTGAGCTAATAAAATTATTTAGGAAAGAACATCTATGTCTGCCAACATCTCACAGAGATAAGTAGACATCATGTGTCTCTTGAGAGAAGTATCCATGACAAATTAAAACCAAAAAACTCAAAGCTGAATCTGATCAAGACTCTAGATCTAAATGCTAATTTACAATTTACATAAAGTAAAACGTAATACAAGGGGTCTTCAAAAAGTTCGTGGAAAGATTCGTATTATCTTTCAATTCCATTTTTCCAGGAACTTTTTGAAGTATACTGTGGAAATACAATCAGCAAAATCCAGGCTAAAGAAAACCACAAAACAAACCACCCAGTTTCTTCAACAAATAAATAGAAAGCTAAAGAGAAAAAAGAGGAAGGGAAGGAGATCAAAGAGACTTTATAAAGACATAGCAACAAATTCAAAGTGAAATAAAACTGATATTAAGAAATAATGATAAATATAAACACTGAATGGTTATTTGAAAATACTAAGGAGTTACTGTAAATTATCTTTAGATGTGATGATATTTTGATTATGTCTTAGAGATATATATTACATACATCCAAATAAAATTAAATTATTCTGGAATTTGGGCAGGGAAAACAGAAGAGCAAGATTGGCTATGGAAAGCTTTTGGGGCTTACTGATGGATACCCGAGAGACTATAATACCACATTACCTATTGTTGCATTTGTTTAAAATTCCTCATAATAAAAAGTTAAAAATAATCTAGATGGGAATATACAAAAATGGCAGAAGTTGCTAAATATTATGATTCAGATGGAAATTAACTTCAAAGCATTTTAACAGCTTCAAGAAGCAGCTTTCTGTTCACATTATAAAACTCATAGGTGGAAAAAGAAGAAAGAGCATCACAACTGAGGAGAAATAACATCAACAAAGACACAGAAAGAGAAACAAATGTTCAGTTCAGGTGTTCAGGAAAAGTTTATTTTCAAGTTAAAGGAAACTGAGCATACCTGAAGGCAGAAGAGCCAATAAATATTACAGATATTGCAGAAATGAGAGGAGATAAAATGGGAACAAGGTCCTCTAAGAATCAAAAAAAACCCCAAGATAAAACAAAGAGGCCCCTGGTTCCTCGGGCACTAGGGAAAAAAAACAAAAGGAAGAGAAAAGGTGTTTGGCCAGGAATACCAGGAGTTTTATAGATAACAAAATTTTCACCCAAAAAGGTTAAGACTGTGTGTGTCTGGGGCTGGAGTGTGGTGAAGTAAGAGGACTGATGGCTTAAGTAAATGGAAATAAAGACCATGAACCAAAAAATGGAAATAAAACACTACCAAGGAAAAAAAAACACTCAAGAAAATTAAAATTACACTAAGATACCAAATTCAAATGCTTAGAAATACACTCTGTTGGCAAAGCTGTGGGGAAATGCCCTCTCATACTCTGCCGGCATAAATACAGAATGGTTTAACCCCTACAGACAGAAATTCGGCAATATCTAAGAAAACTCCATAGTATCTACCCTTTCACCCAGGAAGCCCACTTCTAGGAATTCACCCCAAAGACACACCTCCAACAGTTTAAAAATACATATGCACTAGGTTATTCATCAAAGCTCTGAAACTCAAAATTACTGACAATTACTAAAATGTCCAAGAATACTAGAATAAACTACAGTAAATAAACAAAATGACTACTATGTAGTTGTAAAAAAAAAAAAGATTTAGCAAGTTTTCTATGAACTAACATGGAGTGATTTCCAGGAAATACTGCTAATTTTAAAAAGCCAAGGGGCCAAGCCCGTGGCGCACTCGGGAGGGTGCGGCGCTGGGAACGCGGCAGCACTCCCGCCACGGGTTGGGATCCTATATAGGGATGACCCCTGCACTCACAGCGCTCACTGGCTGAGCACGGCGCGGCCGGTCTCAAAAAGGACTAAAAATAAAAATAAAAAGCCAAGTATAAAAGAATATATATAGTATGGTATCTTTTAAGTAATAAGGGAAAATAAGAAAATGTACATATATGTTTATCTTTATGAAAAGATAAAAACACTGGAAGAATAATCAGAAACACAATGAAGTTTATTATCTGCAAGGGATAGCAAAGGGGTAGAAGGGATACAGGAGGAAGGGACACTTCTCTGAGTATGCTTTTACAGTTAGGTAAACAAAATTCCTATTTTCTTGGAAATGCACACAAGTATTTGGGGATAAAGGACCATAATGCATTTAATTTATGCTGTAATGGAACAGAAAAAAATATTATACACACATATATAAACACATGCACATATACAGAGAAAATGAAACTGTTAAGGCAAATGTAGTAAAAATAAAGGGTATATAAGTGTTCTTTGTATTATTTTATTCTTGCATTTTTTTGTACATTTGAAATTATTTCTAAATAAAAAGTTTTAAAAAAGAAAAAAAAAGACTGCCAAGGAATGCCACGATATCACAAAAATCTTTTTACTGGTTAAGGTATGCCATTCTTCCTCCAATCACTTTCTAAATCTCAGCAAGAGGAATATGAAGGATTGTGAATGTGAGCACAGCACAAGGTCAAGGAGAACTGAGAAAAGCATTTACACAGTTATGGCTTCCAGATTTAAAAAATGGTCTAATGTTGCTAGCAGTGAGTTAACAGAGGTAATTAAAGACTAGAAATAAAAAACCTACTGTAGATATAGCAGATCCCACAGATAAAAAGATGACAAATGCCATAGTTATGATTTATTTTCTTTGAGCTCTACATATTGCTTGTCAAAATGCAAATATTATTTTAAAATACTTTAAAAATAAAGAAACTTTGCCATGTGTGGAGTCATTAGAAATCAGAATGAAAAATTTTTTTCAAAATACTTTATCCCTATTCCAAATACTCTAGATACATACTAGGCATTTAGTCTCCTGGAGGTTATATTTGTGATTTGATAGTTGACACCACTTAAAATTTGTTTAAAATACACTATACATGGGCCGGCCCCGTGGCTCACTCAGGAGAGTGTGGCGCTGGTAGTGCCGAGGCCATGGGTTTGGATCCTATATAGGGATGGCTGGTGCGTTCACTGGCTGAGCATGGTGCAGATGACACCGAGCCAAGGGTTGCGATCCCCTTACCCGTCAAAAAAATAAAAATAAAAATAAAACACACTATACAGTATAACGTAATAATTTAAAATAATTCCAAGCTGTTTTCTATAAGGCTGAGTAAGCTGCTTCTGGACCAACCTCCTGCAGATTACAACTACAGACTCTGATCAAAATACATAAGCATTGGGGCCGGCCTGGTGGCGCACTGGATAAGTGCGCTGCTTGGGAAGCGGGGCGGCGCTCCCGCCTGAGGGTTCGGATCCCACATACAGACCGGTTCCCGCTCACTGGCTGAGCGAGGTGTGGGAGCAACACCGAGGGTTGCGATCCTGTTGCCGGTCCCGGTCCAGTACGGGCGCAACACTGAGGGTTGCGATCCGTTGCCGGACACGGAAAAGGACAAAAAGACAAAAAAAAAAAAAATACATAAGCATTGGGGCCGGCCTGGTGGCGCACTGGATAAGTGCGCTGCTTGGGAAGCGGGGCGGCGCTCCCGCCTGAGGGTTCGGATCCCACATACAGACCGGTTCCCGCTCACTGGCTGAGCGAGGTGTGGGAGCAACACCGAGGGTTGCGATCCCGTTGCCGGTCCCCAGTCCGGTACGGGGGCAACACTGAGGGTTGCGATCCGTTGCCGGACACGGAAAAGGACAAAAAGACAAAAAAAAAAAATACATAAGCATCTATCTCAAGGTACTGGAGAGTGACCTAGAGCAACTGCTAAAAACATAAAAGCTCTACAAAGTGCTCACTCAAAGACTCTATAAATAAATCAAAATGGAATTCTAAAACAGATTCAAATAATTCACAGGAAGGCAAGGAAACAAAAGTGAAAACAAAAAACAGGAACAAACAGAAAGCAAAACATAAAATGGCAGATTTAAATCCTGATACACCATTAAATATAAATGGTCTGAATACATCAATTGAAAGACAGAGATTGGCAGAATGATTTAAAAATCATGATCCAATTATATGCTATCTACAAAAAACTTACAAATATGATCATATAGGTAAGTTAAAAGAAAAAGGAAGGAAAAAATATACCATGCAAACATTAATAATAATAATTATAATAATAAAGCAAAAGTGGCTGTCTTAATATTAGATAAATTAGATTTCAGAAATAAAATTACAAGGCTCAGAGAGGTGGACATTATGTCCACACAAAAAACTATACACAATTGTTCACTGCAACTTTATTTCTAACAGCTGAAAATTGGAAACAATTAAAATGTCCTACAATGGATGAATAGTTAAGCAAACTATGGAACATCTATAAAATGGAATACTACTCAGCAATAAAAAAGAATGAACTATTCATGTACACAACAACTTGGATGAATCACCAAAGAACTGTCCTAAGTGAAAAAGCCATTCTTAAAAGGGTATGTACTGCATGATTCCATTTATATAACATTCTTGAACTAACAAAATAATAGATAATGGAGAAAAGGTTTTAGTGGTTGCCAGAGGTTAAGGAGTGAGTGGGGAATAAAGAGAATTGGCTGCAAAAGGGCCATTAGCATGAGGGACGCTTGTGGTAACAAAAATGTTCTATATTGATTAAATTAGTGTCAATATCCTCATTGTGATACTGTACTATAGTTTTGCAAGATGTTAGCATCAGGAGAAAGGAGTGACAGGTATACAGTAATGCTCTGTACAGTATTTGCAACTTTCTGTAAATTTATAATTATTTCAAAATAAATGTTTTTTTAAAAAGCAGTGATTCTTAGAGTACCACTTTTTCAACACTAGAAATATTCATAGAAACCTGATACTAATAAAAATGTATATATTATCTGTGTACATCTTACCCATTCGATCCATTGTTTGTACATTCCACACTGCTGGAGGAAAGAATTAATTCAAAAGCAATATGAAGAAAAACAAAACAGGCAACTTCACCCACCAATCTTAAAGGCAGTTGTGGTGGTGGTGGTGATTTAAAAAAATATATTGGAATGCAGTTCAAGTGTCAATGGAATGTTTTTTAATCTCTCTCTTTTTGGAATGGGAACATTGGCCAAAACAAAAACAAACAAACAAAAAAGAACAAAAGAACAATTCACACTTCCTTGGTCAACTTTTAAAAGATGCAGTCCCTCAAATTAATTTTTAAAAATTAGCTTTATATATATATTTTATATATATATTTTGGGTATATATATATATAATATATATATTTTTTTTATATATATATAAAAATTAGCTTTATATATATATAAACCCGACCTCCACTAAATTTTGCTTTTTGCAAGATTTCATCACACTAATTCTTAAACCAACTCTTCTAGTTAAATAGCTATTTTCCAGCCTTCTTCCAGTGAATATTTTGGTGTGCTGGGAGAGGAACAAATAGCTTTTGCAAAATAAAGACATTGACATTTTCAACCACCAAAAAAAAAAAAAAAGAATTACATAAACCTTTAAAAAAAACAGGAACAGGAGGTAAATAATTCAGCTATTTTCCAGCCTTCTTCCAGTGAATATTTTGGTGTGCTGGGAGAGGAACAAATAGCTTTTGCAAAATAAAGACATTGGCATTTTCAACCACCAAAAAAAAAAAAAAAAGAATTACATAAACCTTTAAAAAAAACAGGAACAGGAGGTAAATAATTTCCCTACCAAGATAGCCTACTGATGTTTTTTAAAGCCATTAGTAAGATGAAGCCATGAATAAGCCATAAATAAATAACAGACCATAAAAAAAAGGAATAACAAAAAATGAAAGCCTCCTTTCCCTGGACCAACACTGTAATCTCTCTTCCTAAAGATAACCACAAGTAAGTGTCTTGTAATTCATGCTTTTAAAAAAAGATAACACATATACCTACATATTTATATTTTATATAATTTATATTTTATAAACATATATTTTATAAATAGCAATCACTTAAAAAATCACACTTGCTTTTATTTAGTAAGCTCTTTCCACATCTGCAGACACAGATCAACCTCATTCTTTATAACATCTGACTGTTACCCCATCAAGCGAATGTTTAATAATTTATTAAACAAGTTTCCATTTTGATGGATGCTTTGATATTTCCAGGTTTTTGCTAATATAAACAATGTTGAAATAAAATCTCTCTCTTCCTTCTCTTCCTTACCTTGTATATATGCAACTATCTTGATCAAGTCTGGGTGTGTGTGGGGGGGGGAGGGGTGTGTGTGTGCACGTATTCATATATATAGTCTTATTTGGGGCAATACTTCCAAATTATCCACAGGACAGATTGTACCAATTTATATTCCTACCAACAGTATGAGTGTATCAAAACTTTTGTCAATGTGATTGACTGGAGAATACAGTAATTTCATTCTAATTTGCATCAGAATGAGACTACTATTTTGAGCAACATTTGCTATGGCTATTCACTACTTTTATTTCTTTTTATGAAAGTTGTCTGTTTTTATCCTATGCTCTTTTCCTTCTGGGCATTTGCTTACCTTTTTTGATTGTTTCTGGGGTTTTTTTTGGAGGGGGGAGTTGCAGCTGGATGGTACAGGGGGTTGACCTTGGACCTTGGTGTTATCAGCACCAGCCAGCCTTTGCTTACCTTTTGTACTGATCTGTATAAAAATTTTATAAAGAAAAATAATTAGCCCCTTGTCACATGTTTTGCAAATATACTCTGCCAGTTTCTTTTTGATGACTCAAATCCTTTTATGGTGCATTTTTTCTAATTTTATAAATTTTTCATTGCTACATAGTGAAATGTATCAATCATTCCTTATATATATCAGATAAGTACTGGCTAAAGTTCAAAATTGGATAATATTAATCATTATAGAATAGTATCAGTCAACTACTGAGAGAATTAAAAATGTTTTATTTAAAGGGAGTATATATAAAACATGAAGTATCAAAAGATGTTACTCAACGTTGAGCTCATCAAATAAATGCTATAATTAATACAGAAATAGGGCTGGCGGGTTAGCTCAGTTGGCTAGAGCACTGCCTCGTATCACCAAGGTCAAGGGTTTGGATCCCTGTACCAGCCAGCTGCCAAAAAATAGAAAGAAAAGAAAAAAACAGAAATAAAATGTACTATGAGTACTAAAGTAAATGCCAAATACATCTGCTGACTTTTTCATTAGTTGCTTAACCAAATGGGCAAGTGGGTAAGGTAAATATAATAACTCCAAAACACTGTGACAATTTTAACTACAGAGCGCATTAGAAGAATATTTCTTGGTTTTCATATAAACTTATTAACAAATATAATTTCCTTATTTTAAAGCTGAAATATAAAACAAAAATACTAGTTTTATCTTAGGTAAGTAACATAAAACACAATGTTTCACAAAATAGTTTTAGTTATTTTTGTACACTATTGTGCTGTAAAAGACCAAAATGTTTGGGGGCCAAAGGAAACAATACTTATGCAAGCAAGAACAATAAGCAAAGGAGAGAGACTGTTTGAAACTCCTGTACTTATCATCAGTGTCTGGTGAACAGTTTGAAAATTATGTCCATCTACACATTACCTACAGCATTTGGTATCTACTCTTCCACTTTAACACACAGAACTCAATCTTCTTTAATTATATACAAATTGTATATATACATTTAGCCAAGAAACAGTATAAACAAACCTTCTTCAAAAAAGACAAAAAGCACAGAAAAGTACTGACAATGGTTGTTGTTGCTGTTATTTCTAAAATGACAGTCTCTTAAAGAAAACTCAAATGCATGAACAGATAAGGCTGTATTTCAATAGACCTAAGAATAAATTTTTAAGAGTACCACATCTTAAAATAAAGTACACAGATTTGATATCTGGCATGTTTCCAAAAAAAACACACCAAAAACAAAACAATATGATGTGGCACCACTCCAATTTCAAAAGTAAAATGTCCACTTTTCAAAGGCAGTTAAAAATACTTTCTATTTAATAGGAAAGCATCTGGCAACGTAAAGCCAAAAAAGCATCTGTAAAATAATTTTAATAGTGAATTTACAATAATATGGTTAGTATTTTTCTTTGAAATATTGGTAAACAACTCAACTCATATATGCTAGGTTTTTCTTAATGAAAAATACTAACTTAAATTGTTTATATCAAAGTGAAATCTACTTACAAGTGAATCTGCATCAGGGCATTCCCTATTAAAACAAACAAAATATCAGAAATATTCAACTATTAGAACTCTCTGCTAATTATACTATATTTAAAGTGCTTACCTTGGGATTTAAACATAACTTTCATTTAAACTCCAAAAAATATTTAAGGAAACCAAATCATAAAGATTAAAATATACCAAATTATTTAAAATTCAAAAGAAGGCATTCTATACCCATATTACCTAACAAAATTAAAACAAATAGCTTACAAGTATTCTAAAAAGTCTTTTCAAATTACCTCTTTTCTATGAATATACTCATATATCCTATTAAGCAAGCTGTCAGTCCTACAAGGCTTTCTCGTGGCTTTTCATTCTTCAGAGAAAGTTTAAAAAAAAAAAAAAAAATTCCTTTAAAGAAAGCCTGGTTAAAAAAAAATCTTTTTTAAGTGACAAGTAGTCTGAAAACTTAACACCCCTGGATAAATTTTTATTTATTGGTAAATAACATTTTTAAATAAAAAAAATTTTAAAACATTTCAGTTTCATTTTAAGTTCTCTCCATGATTTAGTACATATAGAATTCAAAACTAGTTTTCTCCAAATATGCTAAATGAGTAGACTTTCAGTTGGAATAACTTTCTAATTTAATATGCAGTAGAGAACTGATATTTTACCATTTAACTGATAAATATTGAAAATGATAAATATAAAACTATTATTTTATAAATATTGAAATTGCATATAAGCTAGTAAAAACTATTATTTTAAACATAAGACACAAAAAAGACCTAAATACACAAAATTAAGGACACTGAGGTCATGAGGAATAAGGTTAGAAGAATTTCTATGTATACACCCTAAAACAATTTCACAAACAAAAATTAGAGTGCAGATTTAAAAGGCATTTGAATCTTTGACTTGAGTCAGTTCATGCACAAAATGTCAGAATCTTACAGTAGAAGGTAATCTCTATCTACCCAAAGACTAAACACAAACCAGAAAAATCTATAAATTGAAGAATTTTATTGAAAGAAGAAAGAATGAAATAGACTGAAAAAATGAAAAAGGAGAGAGATGACTACAATGGTCTTAATCCAAATTGGAGCACCAAAGAGTGTAAACGCAAACCCTATGTGTCTTTATGACCACTTAAAAGTCACTTAAAATTGCAAATTTTGAAATACAGCTTATTAGTAGATGAGAAATATTTTATATACATATAGATACATATGTGTGTGTGTGTGCGTGTGTGTGTGTGTGTGTGTGTGTGTGTGTGTGTGTATACATACACCTGTGCATTCTCTGAGGAAATGTTCCAGAAAAGGCACAATAAATTAAATTCTTGGGAATCAAATCAATCGAGATGTTAGAACATTTCTTTCTTCTCTTTTAAAAGACACAGTTTAAACACAAGAGAAAGTGTTAAAGTTCCAAACAGTTTATTCTCTGGCTTTAAGCCAGAACTCTCCAGTGATAAAACACTCATCTATTTGTGGTAAAGCACTCATCTGTTTGTCTTCACAGTGAACTGTACAAGACTTGCACATGAAGCCCCAGGAAGAGCAAGCTCTGAGTAGGAACAGTTTGCACTGGCATCTCAAAAGCCTTCAAGGCTATGAAGAAGAGGTATGCCAAGGGCCTCTGCATTTCAAGCAAAGTGAATTGTAACATTTTTCAGGCCAAGAAGTCTGAAAGAAGGTGATAACGGTGCAGTGGTTTAAGCACTGGCTTTCTGCTCTAGTATTCTCGTTGGTAAAAAAATTTTCCAATATCCAAGTGGCTTAATGATCATATTAGGAAATTATTGATCATGAAAAACTATTTTCAAAACATGGCATATAAAAAATATTATTAGCTTCTTGAATGAACAGTAGTAAAAAACATACATTAGAAAAATAATTTAAGGCAATCATTCTTTGCAATATAATTTACTAAAAGATGAACTGGCTACATTTTACAAACTTACATACAAATCAATTGTTTAGACTTATATTTCTAATATTTTAAAAAGAGATTAGGTTCCACTCACTTACCAAAATATCCCCTTCATAAATGCTCAAGATAGACATTTGCAGAAAAGATGGTAATGATAGAACACTTTGTATTTGGTCTTAATTTGTTAAACAAATAACCACTTGGGAGGGAGAAAGAGACAGACATTTAGAATGGGAGAAACTCTGAGAAACTCAGATAATAGGAATGTAACTAAGTAGGAGGCAAGAATACCCAAAGCACAAATAGTTCTCTTATGTTGAAACTATGAGTGCCAATCAAAATATTAAATTTCGTGACAGTTCTTCTGATTATGCCAGAAAAGTAGACATTTTAAACTAATTTTCAGTTAATGTGAATAGATCAACAAATCACTCAAGACTTGATTAGTGTCTCTCTTCAGTCTAAACAGATTGAGTAATTATGAAAAGATTCCATTAATTCTAGTTTAGCTCTGATTAATCATGGCTCAGTGACTAGTCCGGTACGGGGCGACACTGAGGGTTGTGATCCGTTGCCGGACACGGAAAAAGACAAAAAGGCAAAAAAAAATAAAAATAAAACTATAATATAGTCTATTATTCACCAAAAGATTACAGAAAATTCACTAGACTGATAAAATTCTCTTTTCTTCTAAGTCTCCCCTAAGTCACCTGAGGCAAAATAAGCATGTGGAGATATCTCAGAACTTCAAAGAAAGCACATTATTCATTATATAACATTTCACTATAAATGTAGGTCAAATCATATTCCCTGTCTGCAGAAGATCACAAAATATAAGTGGGTTGTTCTGAAGAAAAAGATGACACATCAAACCCATTAGAAATATAATATGGAAGGTTTGCGATATGGCACTCTCATATCCATATGTTATCTCTAATATAAACAATGTAATAAATGGATCCTATAATAACTGAAGAGCAAAAATCATCTTTGTTTTTCCTAATACAGCAGTTCTTCATCCTCCTCTTGCATGACAAATTATTTGTTTTTAAGGTTAGTCATGCTATGAATTGTTGATGGAACTCAGCACTTAAAGCTTAGTTATTTACTCTTTGAGAAATGAGCAGTAAGAGACCTTACGTCACCTAATCTAACCCCTCATCTTACAGATGAGGACATTCAAGGTTTTTTGTTTGTTTTTTTCTAACTCCATGTTATAAAACTAGTAAATACCATAGCTAGAACAAGAATTCAGGCATCAGAGTAATATGCTCGTTATCATGCAAAGCTAACTCCCTAAACCCCACATTTGTATAGCATGTTATGATGCTATATTTTATTTTATTTGTATAGCATGTTATGATGCTATGCATTTTATTTTATTTTTTTATTTTTTATTTTTTTCCTTTTTTTTTTTGTCTTTTTTCATGTCCGGCAACGGATCGCAACCCTCAGTGTCGCGCCCGTACCGGACCGGGACCGGCAACGGGATCGCAACCCTTGGTGTTGCGCCTGCACCTCGCTCAGCCAGTGAGCAGGAACCGGTCTGTATGTGGGATCC